GCAAAACGGCTGCGGGATGCGGCGAGCAACTCTGCCTCATGCCGAAAAAAGCTTTCACGCCAGGCCTGAAATCTCATTGGAATGCATTGTCTGGTTGTGTGAGCCAGACCTGAAATCTCATTGGAATGCATTGTCTGGCTGTGTGAGCCAGACCTGAAATCTCATTGGAATGCATTGTCTGGCTGTGTGAGCCAGAACTGAAATCTCATTGGAATGCATTGTCTGGCTATGTGAGCCAGACCCGAAATCTCATTGGAATGCATTGTCTGGCTGTGTGAGCCAGACCTGAAATCTCATTGGAATGCATTGTCTGGCTGTGTGAGCCAGGAGGAAACCCTAAACCCCAAACGCTGAACCCTGGAAACAATTTTTCTCGATTCTAAAAAAAATTTGATTACAAACCCTAAACCCTGAACCCTAAACCCTAAACCCTAAGCCCTAAGCCCCTAAGCCTTGAAGCCGCCAAAAACTTTCAACGACCCCCCTGAGGTGAAGCCCTCTGAAGCCGTGCAGAGAGTCCTTGGGGGCTTCGCCGGGATTCCCGGGGCGTCCCGCGTGTTTTGTTTGAGGGGTTTGGGGCCCTCAGCCCTTAGCAGAGTTCAGGGTTTCGGGTGTAGGGTTTAGGCTTTAGGCTGTAGGGTTTAGGGTTTAGGGCTTAAGGGCAAACCCTAAACCCTAAACCCTAAACCCTAAACCAACCCGCATTGAAGGCTGTGCCGAGTTTGAGTTTAGGGCCCTCAAACTGGATAGAAGAAACCCCTGAACCCGTCACTTAACAGCAATGAGTACTTCGACCAGGCCCTCAACCCTAAACCTCAAATCGATACTTCGAATATGGCCCTTCTACTACCTTAAGGATCTTTCAATAGGTTCCCCAGAACCCAATGTTACAACCTTAAGGGTCCAAGGTACAACCCCTAGAGAGAAATGATTACGTAGCCCGGGCCTTTCGCCCAAACCTTCAAGCCAAGCGCCCAACACGCCGCAAAAGGCAACCGCTCACGTTCCCAAACCTAAGCCCCAAAGCCGATTATAATATGTAAGAACAGTTGTCGTCTTTGTTCTTCCCCGAACAATGTGTGTCTACGCGACGGGGTTCCAGCGGCGCGCAGAGTAAGAGGGCGGCTAGGTCGATGCGGCGCACGCTGGCACTGCCTGCTCTCTCGGGGCCCGCTCGGGTTTTTGGATGAAAATCGCGGCATCGCCTGGGCGCGGGCGTGGCCCCGCTCGCCGTCCTTTAAAGTGTCATCGCTGTTGGACGTCTGGGCTCGCGAAATGCGAGACTGCCGTCGCTTTCGGACGTCTGGTCGTATCGTCTCTCAGTAGTTGGGGTCTGTATATGCCGGCACAATTGAATACTTGCAAGAACAAAAAAAGATCTAAGTCGTAACGCCGATCACAACGCGTAGACCCCGCAAAGGCACCCCGGTTTCAGGCGATGTTCCGGAGCCCAAACCCCCTGGGTCCTAAACTCAAAGCCTGAAGGTCTAGGGTTTAACACCTTAGGCTCAAAATAGCCCAAAACCCTTATGTAACAAGGCCTTGGGGCCCAAAAACCCTAAAAGAAGAGTCCTTGGAGCCTAAACCCTAAACCCTAAACCCTAAACCCTAAACCCTAAACCCTAAACCCTAAACCCTAAACCCTAAACCCTAAACCCTAAACCCTAAACCCTAAACCCTGAACCCTGAACCCTAAACCCTAAACCCCAACCCCTAATCCCTAAACCCCAAACCCTAAATCCTAAACCCTAAACCCCAATCGCCGCTGCCCAGGAGCTGGCGCTGGGGGAGATCCAGCTGGGCTCGCTCCAGCACCCTGGGTCTAGGGGTTGGGGTTTAGGGTTTAGGGTTTGGGGTTTGGGGTTTAGGGTTTCCGGGTTTAGGGTTTAGGGTTTGGGGTTTAGGGTTTAGGGTTTAGGGTTTGGGGTTTAGGGTTAAGAGGGTTTAGGGCTCCGACCCTTCGAACGCCGGAGCCCGGATCCCAACACCCCACACCCTGCAAGAAGCCACAGGGGTTAGGGTTTAGGGTTTAGGGTTTGGGGTTTGGGGTTTAGGGTCAGCGGTCGTCCCTTCTTGGGCCCCTGCAACAAGAGCTGGCTAATTGCTTAAGAACCCCCCCCCCCCAAAAGATAACAAAAAGTCCTCCTTATCTGGGCAACATAGGGACTGTCTTGTTTTTAAAAGTTTTGGGGGTTCTTCAGCAAAGAGTGGAGAGGTGCTCTTTCGTAAAGGCCCTGTTAGATCTTGAACCCTAAACCCTCACTTAGAGAGCTGGCCATCGAGGCGACCTAGTCTTGGCGTCTATGGATGTTGCGGTTTAGGGTTCGGGCTGGGTTTAGGAGGGTTGAGGGTTTAGGGTTTAGGGTTCAGGGTGTGTTGTGGCCGTACCTTGTGTGGCACAAGGTACGGCCAGTCGACCGACATCGTGCTACACATGGATCCGGAGGTGGGAGATTACCACCCCCAAAACCTAAGCCCCAAGCGCCTAAACCCCAAATCCCAACTCCCAAACCTAAACCCTAAGCCCGAAACCCGAAGCACTAAAACCTAAACAACCCCCAACCCCAGAATCCGAACTTCAAAACCCAAGCCGGAAGCCCTAAACCCTAAACCCTAAACCCTAAACCCTAAGCCCTAAACCCTAAGCCCTAAACCCTAAGCCCCAAACCCTAAACCCTAAACCCTAAACCCGAAACCCTAAACCCTAAACCCTAAACCCTAAACCCTAAACCCTAAACCCTAAACCCCAAAAGCTACTTCCTTGGAGTTCTGAACTCTTGCGGTCGCAGGCTCCGCCCCTCGAGGTCCAGCTGTGCGTGCAGTCCCTCAGCGCGGGGGCCGAGCAGCTGCGGGTGCAGAGGGCTTTCGGGCTTTGTTTGGGGTTTAGGGTTTAGGGTTTATATAGGGTTTAGGGTTTAGGGTTTAGGGTTAAGGTTTTAGGGTTTAGGTTTAGGGTTTAGGGTTTAGGGTTTAGGGATTTAGGGTTTAGGATTTAGGGATTTAGGGTTTGCGGTTTTGGGTGAAAGGGCTGCGGACAGGTGGGCCGTGATGCACCTGTCGTATGAGAGAGTTTCGGGTTCGGTAAGGCAAGAAGTGTACCCTAAGCCCTAAACCCTAAACCCTGAACCCTAAGGCCTAAACTCTAAACCCTAAACCCTAAACTACACCCTACACCCTACACCCTACACCCTACACCCTGAAGGTGTTTTTTTCCTCGTGATTTCGGTGATGGTCCGGGCTTTTGGGTCTACCAGCTTTGCGCCCCGAAACCCTAAAACCCTAAAACCCTAAAACCCTAAAACCCTAAAACCCTAAAACCCTAAAACCCTAAAACCCTAAAACCCTAAAACCCTAAAACCCTAAAACCCTAAAACCCTAAAACCCTAAAACCCTAAAACCCTAAAACCCTAAAACCCTAAAACCCTAAAACCCTAAAACCCTAAAACCCTAAAACCCTAAAACCCTAACGACCCCTAAAGAGAGCCTAAACCCTCGGCTCCAAAGACCCCTAAAGAGAGCCTAAGCCCCCGGCTCCAAGGACCCCTAAAGAGAGCCTAAGTCCCCGGCTCCAAAGGCCCCCTAAGCATCCCTACACTTCAAACCGAAGCCCCCTAACCCCCAACAGGGAGTGAAACAGGCCCTCCAGAATGGTCGGGGACGAAATCCCTCCGCTGTGCTGTGCTGATCAGCAGTCTACGAGGATGATCTGTACCTATTTCAGAGACTTCGCGAGGACCACATCCCAGCAGGAGTTCGCAAGCCATCAGAGCGGCAGCAACAAGCAGGACATCGACACTGTCAGCTCTCATGCAGACAAACCACCGATTAGGGTTTAGGGTTTAGGGTTTAGGGTTTAGGGTTTAGGGTTTAGGGTTTAGGGTTTAGGGTTTAGTCGTCGTCGTCGTCGTCGTCGTCGTCGTCGTCGTCGTCGTCGTCGTCGTCGTCGTCGTCGTCGTCGTCGTCGCGAGTACTGGTAGTACTTGGTACTGGTCGTAGTCTTAGTTCTGGTAGACAGCAGTTGAGTGTGGACGCACAGCATGCTTGTAAGGACAGGACTCCCCCCGTTCCTACTCCTGTGGCCTGCTCAAGACGCCCTCAAGCGCCCCTTAACAGGTTATAAGCACCACTAAGTCCCCCCTGAATTCCACAGCCCTAAACCCATAAATCCTTACAGACCCTCCACTAAACAGCCTTCAAACAAGGCGGAAGCACAAACGTGGAGTCCACGCCATTATCCCCCGACGAGGCGGTCTTCGTGGTTGTTCTGGGGTGGGAGGGGGGTTGGGTAGGGTTTAGGGTTGTTGTTTTGGGGTTTGAAGTTTAGGCGTTTTTTGGATCCATAACCCTGAGCCCTGAAGCCAAAACCCTCAGCCCTAAGCCCCAATCCCTAAACCCTGAGCCCTAAGCCCTAACGCTGAACCCGAAATGAACTTTAAACCCTCAACTCCTAAAGCCTAGTTGTTTCGGGGGTCAACTCGGAATTCTCAGCCCCAGAAACCGAAGACCTCAACCCCCAACCCTAAAAACCCTAAACCCCAAAAACCCTCAGCCCAACAAACTGCGACCAAAACCCTCAACCCAAAACCCTAAACCCAACAAACGCCTTCGTTGGGGGTCCTAAAACTGCTGCAGGCAAAAGAGGTGGCCGTGCAGTTCTGCCGGTGCTCCTTCGTCGGAGGGCCCAGACGTGTTTTGGGGCTTGGGGGGGGGGTTGAGGGTTTGTTTTGTTCAGGGGTTCTAGGAATGTGGGGTTTAGGTTCTTTTTTGGGGCTTTGGGGGTTCATCAGGGGTTTTGGGGTTGTAGAGTTTGGGGTATTTGTTGTGGGTTTTTGGGCTGGCTTTCAGGTTTTCGGGGCGTGTATGGTCACGTCAAGCACTGCGGTTCTCGCACCTGTGTTCAGCCATCGCAAGAGGTTTAAGGGCTTAGGGTTTGCTCTAAGATCGTGACGTCAGCTGACCCGAGCCACGGAAGCTATGGGCTCGGATGCGAGAGTGCCGCCATGTACCGAGATTTGCTTCGTCTCTGGCGCTGTCTCCGCCCGCAGTCGTGTCAGATCCGCTTCCGGTCTATTTTCCCGTTCGGTCAAGGTCCCAAGCGTATCCCGAGTGTCAGGGATGAGTGTGGTCCGGGTTTTGTGCCAACAGAGGAGAACCTCAAGCAGTGCGATGAGATACACAGAAGTGCTATCAAGAGTCGTGGCGTTGGTACGGAGGGCAGAATGACGGCGGAGTTCGTGGAGAAGTACCACACTCTGCAGGGGCTTGAGAAGTACCCATACGTTTATCTCTGGGAATGGCAGGTGCCCCTCGTAAATGCAGGCGCGAAGGGCGACCTCGTGCTTGCATCCGGGGATGGGGATTTCGCCGTGGTCGAGCTCAAGACGCTTGACATGCAGTCGTCGGGCCCAACAGTCAGAAGGAGGAGAACTAAAAAGCGTGAGCATGTGGAGCAGCAGGCAATCGCATATTTGTGTTTGTTTGCGCAGCTGGACAGGGAGATAGCCGCTTTGGGCATTGTGCCAGCAGTGAGTGCATGGGTATACACCGAGGATGGCTTGAAGAATGCCGTGCCCAACTCTTGGTTTCGGGGCTGGTGCGAGCAATGCCAGCTTCGCCCTGGTCCAGGTTGCTACCCTGAGCTTATCTTCGGGAAGACCGCCACCACTTCTGAGCCAGAGAATCGGCAGGACTGCCAGTGTCGTTGCCAGCGCTGTCGATGTGCTTTGGTGTACTGTAGATAGGTTTCTTTCGCCTAGAGTATGAGTAGTCCAGATGAAGAGCAATAGCTGCACACATCCGACGAGCACTAGCTAAGGAACAAGAAAAAGGGATCCTATTAACCCTAAACCCAAAACCCTAAACCCAAAACCCAAAACCTCCGACCCTAAGACCTAAGCCTTCAGCCTCAACAAACTTCCACGCGAGTAATCCTATTGGTCAACTCCCATTCTGGCCCCTTTTGAACCGAGGGGGTTTGGGGTTTAAGGTTTGGGTTTAGGGAGCCGTGCTCACCTGAAACGTAAGGGCCGTAAAGCCGACACTTCTAACAGGGAGTTTAGGGTTTAGGGTTCAGGGTTCAGGGTTCAGGGTTTAGGGTTTAGGGTTTAGGATGGACCACAGCTTCAGCCTCATCATTTGACCACGTGGCGGAATCCGTAGTCAAGCCCAGGGAGTACCTAGCCAACCCCAAAACCGTCAATACCCTAAACCCTAAACCCTAAACCCTAAACCCTAAACCCTAAACCCTAACCCCTAAACCCTAAAGCCCCCCTGAAAGGTTCCGGGTTGAGGTACCCCAAACTCTAAGCCCTAAACCCTGACCCTCCAACCCTCCAACCCTCAAAGCCCCGAAGGAAAAACCCCAACACCACGCAACCCCCCTAAAGCACCCATCAATGCATGTGACAGGTCGACTGCCTGACGCGCCTGGCGCCCGCTGTGGAGGATGGCCCTGGCGGGTGGGTAGGGTGTTCAGGGTTTCGGGTTTAGGGCTCAGGGATGTAGGGTTTAGGGTTTAGGGTTTAGGGGCTTGGGGGTTTTTGGTCCCCCCCCTCCCCTTCCCCCAGATTTCCACCCTAAATCCGGCAAACCTTAAAATCCTAAACCCAATCACTCCTCTAAACCTTGAGCCCCTCGACCCTACAGCTAAACCCTAAACCCAAAACCCGAAACCCTAAACCCTAAACCCTAAACCCTAAACCCTAAACCCTAAACCCTAAACCCCAATCCCTAATCCGAAAAGGGCTGTTCCGAGTCTGGTGTCTGGGCACTGGAGGTCTGAGGGTTTAGGGGTTTGCCGAGGTCTCCTAAACCCTGAACCCTAAAACCCTAAACCCCTAAACCCCTAAACCCCTAAGCCCCTAAGCCCCTAAGCCCCTAAACCGCTAAACCGCTAAACCCCTAAACCGCTAAACCGCTAAACCCCTAAACCCCTAAACCCCTAAACCCTAGACTCCTAAACTCCTAAACCCTAAACCCTAAACCCCAAACCCTAAATCTCAAGGTTCCTTAAGATCATCTAAGTGTTGGGTTCTGCGATTCCCCTGAACCTCCGCCCCCCCCCCCCCTCCCCCCAAACGTAGGTGTGGGTTTAGGGTTTGGGGTTTAGGGTTTAGGGTTTCGGGTTTGGGGTTTAGGGTTTAGGGTTTGGGGTTTAGGGTTTCGGGCTGAGGGTCTGGACCCAGGAGGACATTGCCAACGGCAAAATTCTGCTGAAGGACCTGGCGGATCAGGTGCAACACGGGGGGGATCCCAGATCTGCCCGAGGTAACATTCAGGGGGGCTTTAGGGTTTAGGGTTTAGGGTTTAGGGTTCAGGGTTTGGGGTTTAGGGTTCAGGGTTTAGGGTTTAGGGTTTAGGGTTTGCAGAAAGGTAAGAAACTTCTCAGCCCAATAATTGTAAGTGAAAGCTCTTCTGTGGGTTTTTGGGGCTTGAGAGGGTTTCACCTCTATCCTTATGGTTGCGATGTAGGGTTCATACTGATGGCTTGAGGCCGATCCTTAGCAGAGCTATTTTGGAAGAGCTGTTTAGGGGCGGGGGGCGGGAAGCGCATCCGCTTTGCCCAAAACCCGAAGCTCGAATTGCGCCCGAAGCCATAAAGCCCGACGGCGTGGTTTGGGGCTTAGGGCTTGTTAGTTGCCCGCTCGCATAAAGCTTAAGCCCTAAACCCTAAAGCCCTAAAGCCCTAAGGTCCTGAACCCCTCTAAACTGGCTAAGATCTTGAGAGTTTAGAGGTGTAGGGTTAGGGGACACCCTAAACCCTACACCCTAAACCCTAAACCCTAAACCCTAAACCCTAAACCCTTAACCCTAAACCCTAAACCCTAAACCCCCCTAACCCCCCTAAACCCTAAACCGTAAATCCTAAACCCTAAGCCCTAATCCCGGCATCAGGCCAAGTAACCCCGCAAGCCCTCTCTCATGGAGGTTGCAGCCTCCCCGGTGGCGGCGGAGGAACGGGTAGGGCTCTTAGGGATTGGGGTTTAGGGTTTAGGGTTTAGGGTTTAGGGTTTAGGGTCAGGGTTAGGGTGTAGGGTTTAGGGTGTAGGGTTCAGGGTGTCTCCATTCAATTAAGGGGGGTGTGCTGGTGCTAAAAGGATTCAGGCGCCGACTTGCTGAGCCTCACCCCCTCTTGCGCTCCTCTGGTCTCGGCCTTTCTGGGTTTCGGCTTCCTGGCTTTCTGATGGTGCTCATGTTTTGGGACGTTCCCCCTTCCACTAGCAGCCCTTAAGAGGGAATGTTAATTGAGGGCACTATAATCCTTATTAAGGACTGCTAGCTCAGCTTGGAGGTTTGCGTGTTTAGGGTGTTTTGTTTGCTTGATGAACCCCCAGCCTAAAAATATAAGCTAAGATCGTTCTTGTGCTGCAAGTGGGGACCACCCTAAAGCCTATACCTGGGGTTTAGGGTTTAGGGTTCAGGGTTTAGGGTTTAGGGTTTGTGTTTAGGGTTTAGGGTTATTGCAAACCCCAAACCCTAAGCCCCAAACCCACGATTCCGCCATGATCCGAGTGTCAGGGTTACGTCTTGATACTGACAGGCCCCCCTTGCTTGGGGAGTATTATGCCTTAAGCCGCACTTGAAGGTTTAGGGGTGTAGGCTTGTTCGGCCCTAAAACGGAACCCTCAAACCTAAACCTTACGTAGTTCTCGACCTTTGAACATAGAGCGGTCACCCAGCTGCAAAACAAACGTAAGAAACAGAATTCGCATGGGGGGTTAAGCCATATTTCCTTGAATCTAAAAAGTATCCTTATATAGCTTAGGGTACCGAAAAGGCCCCAATAACTTGGACAGACCCTGGGGTTAGGGCCACAGGGCGGGTCTACGATTCACAAGCAAGCCTAAACCCTGAAACCCCCCAAAACCCTATAGCAGCTAAACCTGCAACCCTGAAACCCCCAAAAACCCCAAAGCCCTAAACCCCTAAACTCAAAATCCCTGAAGCCCTAAATCCCCGAAACCCCTGAAGCCCCAAAAACCAAGCCTCTAAAGCCCTAAGACCCCTCCCGAACCCTTGAAACCCCGAAATCCCCAAAACCCTAAACCTTTGAAACCCTAAACCCTAAACCCGAAACCCTGAACCCTAAACCCTTGAAATCATTGAAGCCCTAAACCCTAAACCCGAAACCCTAAGCCCTAAACCCTTGAAATCATTGAAGCCCTAAACCCGAAACCTAAACCCTTTGTCCTAAACCCTTTGCCCTAAATCCTTGAAGCCCCGAAAACCCCACCGAGGTCAAGGCCCTCCTGGAAGACATCCTGGGCCAGTGCTGCGAGGCCTCCTGGGTTTTCATCTGCTGGAGCCACAAAAAGGGTTTAGGGTTGAGGGTTTGGGGTTTCGGGTGCAGGGTTTAGGGTTTAGGGTTCAGGGTTTAGGGTTTTGGGTTTCGAGTGTAGGGTTTAGGGTTCAGGGAGTCTTGTGGGAACCCCAGACAGGGGGAATTCCAGGAACCGAGTAGGCAGAAGTGGGTATAGAGCAGGTATCCAGGCACCCGGATCCATATATTCCTACTGCATCAAAGGCCTCCGATAGGATGTGGTGGGGGGCGGGAGTTACTGAATGAGGGGTTTCGGGTGTCGGGTTTAGGGTGTAGGGTTTAGGGTAATTCATGAGGCGACTGTAGAGTTCCTAAACGAGGGGTTCAAGGGAGGGGGTTCAAGTAGGTTTTTCACCCAAGGTTCCATAGTACTCCCCACTACTCCCTTAGCTTCCCAGAGATTCGCTAGGCCCCTTGAACCCTTCCCCCCCCTCCCCCCCCCCCTCAAGAACCCTATATAAAAAGTCACGTTTCTGTGGGTTATCTAGGGTTGTGGAACCTGAGCCCGGAACACCTGAACCCGTTTGGGGGGGTTAAGGGCTGAGAGACCCTACACCCTAAACCCAGACCCTAAACCCTAAACCCTAAACCCTAAACCCTAAACCCTAAACCCTAAACCCTAAACCCTAAACCCTAAACCCTAAACCCTAAACCCTACATTCTAAACCCTATTTCGAACTCCCCCCCCACCAGGCTGTGGAGAAGCCGGAGTACTGGAACAGGTGGGGCAAGCACTATGTGCCGGGAACCCGAGGGCTTTGGGGGGGTGGCTTTATCTTGGCTTTCTTCTGGCTGGCTCTTAGGACTTGAACCCTTTTGTGGGTTTTTGTAGAAGCTACAATAAGGAGCCTAAAAGTTGAACCTTTAGGAGGGCTTCAGAAGTCAGCCAAGTTAAGGGGGGTGAGGCCTGGGCGCCCTAAGCCTCATGAACCCCTAAACCCCTGCGCACCAAGGCACAGTGGAGCCCTAAACCCTAAACCCTAAAACTCTAAACCTTACACCCTAAACCCTTAACCCTTAACCCTAGACCCTAAACCCGAAAACCCTTAAACCTTAGCTTCTTATCTCCAACCGATGTGAGATGCGGGTTATATTGGGTGTTTAGGGTTTAGGGGTTGAGTTTAGGGTTTAGGGCTTAGGGTTTCGGGTGTTTTACCTAAACCCAAACCCTGCTTCCCAAGGCCGTCGGTGATGTTTGCCCACAAGCTTCAGCAGCCCCTGGGGCCGAACCCGTGGTCGGTTTCGAGATTTAGAGATTAAGGGTTTAGGGTTTAGGGTTTAGGGTTTAGGGTTTAGGATTTGGGGTTCAAGGCTTCAGGGGTTCAGGGTTTAGGGATGTTGGGCTTCAGAGGGCTTTTTAGGGTTTACGGGTTTGGGGTTGGCATGTTCCCCCTTATACTAACAGTCCTTCATCAGGGATTT